TACGTGTTATTTTTGACATTTGGTGGCGCCACGTGTTATATAATTTACATTTGGTGGGGCCACTTGATATATTTGACATTTGGTGGCGCCACGTTTTTTATTTGACATTTGGTGGTGTTACGGGTTTTATTTGACATTTGGTGGCGCCACGTGTTATATTTTACATTTGGTGGTGCCACTTGATATATTTGACATTTGGTGGCGCCACGTGTTTTATTTGACATTTGGTGGTGTTACGTGTTTTATTTGACATTTGGTGGCGCCACGTGTTATTTTTGACATTTGGTGGTGCCACGTGTTATGTATGACAGTTGGTTGTGCCACTTGTTATATTTGACATTTGGTGGTGCCTCGTGTTATATTTGACATTTGGTGGTGCCACGTGTTATATTTGACACTTGGAGGTGTTACATGTTATATTTGACATTTGGTGGTGCCTCGTGTTATATTTGACATTTGGTGGTGTCAAGTGTTATATTTGACATTTGGTGGTGCCACGTGTTATATTTGACACTTGGAGGTGTTACATGTTATATTTGACATTTGGTGGTGCACGTGTTATATTTGACATTTGGTGTTGCACGTGTTATATTTTACATTTGGTGGCGTCACGTTTATATTTGACATTTGATGGTGCCAAGTATTATATTTGACATTTGGTGGTGCCACGTTTATATTTGACATTTGATGGTGCCACGTATTATATTTGACATTTGGTGGTGCCACGTATTTATTTGACATTTGTTGGTGTTACGTGTTATATTTGACATTTGGTGGCGCCACGTGTTTTCTTTGACGTTTGGTGGCGCCACGTGTTATTTTTGACATTTGGTCGAGGCACGTGTTTTGTATGACAGTTGGTGGGGCCACGCGTTATATTTGACATTTGATGGGGCCACGTATTATATTTGTCATTTGGTGGTGCCACGCTTATATTTGACATTTGGGGGTGTTACGTGTTTTATTTGACATTTGGGGGTGTTACGTGTTTTATTTGACATTTGTTTGTGTTACGTGTTATATTTGACCTTTGGTGGCGCCACGTGTTTTCTTTGACGTTTGGTGGCGCCACGTGTTATATTTTACATTGGGTGGTGTCACGTTTATATTTGACAATTGGTGGTGTTACGTGTTTTATTTGACATTTGTTGGTGTGACGTGTTATATTTGACACTTGGTGGTGCACGTCTTATATTTGACATTTGGTTGTGTTACGTGTTATATTTGAAATTTGGTGGTGGTGTTACATGTTATATTTGATATTTGGTGGTGCCACGTATTTGTTTGACATTTGTTGGTGTTACGGGTTATATTTGACATTTGCTGGTGCCACGTATTATATTTGTCATTTGGTGGTGCCACGGGTTATATTTGACATTTGATGGGGCCACGTATTATATTTGACACTTGGTGGTGCACGTCTTATATTTGACATTTGGCGGTGCCACGAGTTATGTATGACAGTTGGTGGTGCCGCGCGTTATATTTGACATTTGATGCTGCCACGTATTATATTTGTCATTTGGTGGTGCCACGAGTTATTTTTGACATTTGGTCGAGGCACGTGTTTTGTATGACAGTTGGTGGTGCCACGTGTTATATTCGACATTTGGTGGTGCACGTGTTATATTTGACAGTTGGTGGTGTTATATTTTACATTTGGTGGTGGCACGTTTATATTTGACAATTGGTGGTGTTACGTGTTTTATTTGACATTTGGGGGTACACGTGTTATATTTGACGTTTGGTGGTGGGGTTACGTGTTATATTTGCCATTTGGTGGTGGTGTTACGTGTTTTATTTGACATTTGTTACATTTGGTGGTGCCACTTGTTATGTATGACAGTTGGTGGGGCCACGTGTTATATTTGACGTTTGGTGGTGGTGTTCCGTGTTATATTTGACATTTTGTGGCGCCACGTGTTATTTTTGCCATTTGGTGGTGGTGTTACATGTTATATCTGACATTTGGTGGCGCGACGGGTTATGGTTGACGTTTGGTGGTGGTGTTACATGTTATATTTGACATTTGGTGGTGCCACGTTTATATTTAACATTTGGTGGTGCCATGTGTTATATCTGACATTTGGTGGCGCGACGTGTTATGTTTGACGTTTGGTGGTGGTGTTACGTGTTATATTTGACATTTGGTGGTGGTGTTACGTGTTATATTTGACATTTGGTGGCGCCATGAGTTATATTTGACGTTTGGTGGTGGTGTTACGTGTTATATTTGACGTTTGGTGGCGCCACGTGTTATAGTTTACGTAAGGTGGTGCCACGTGTAATAGTTCACATGAGGTGGCGCCACGTGTTATAGTTCACGTTAGGTGATGTCATATGGTATATATGCTGCTGGTGATATCACTTGTCCTATTTTGATACCTGGCGATATTTGATGTCGGGTATTCTCATACAGTATATGCTGCATCTGGTTGTATCACATAGTTTTTATTTAGTGGAGCTTGTACATTATCAGTCGGACTTGCACATAAATGTGCGTCCTTGGCTATCTTTTTTTATTTATTTTTTAAATTAAGACTCGTATTTTATTACATCTACCTTTTTAGAATAATCTGAATCCGTCTCTAATGGTACATAGCTGCCTTGTAATGTAGAAGGATATCGACAGTGGTGCTCCTACATTCCCGTCGAATCTCCGCAGTGCAACACGTTATATGCATAAATTGCCGACAGTGTCAAACGTATCAGATGCACCATCCGAGGGCGCTAGAATACCCACTGGCGGTTATTTGGTAGTTTATTTACATATACGTCTACATTATTAACGTATAAAGTGATTTAACACAGCTGAATTTCTGAGCAACCAATATATTTTTTTTATACAAAACGTATATCAAATAACAACATTTACCCTAAGCCTTAAATACTGTTAAGCAATAATCCAACACTTCACCAATAAACTTCAAAAATAGATATACACTTCATAAACAGATAGATATTTCACCAACAGATAACACACATCTTATGATATATTTTACAGAATTGCACAAAAAAACCCACCCAAAACCCCACAAAATTGTGGAAGTTCTTTAGCGATCCATTTAAACTGGTACTGTGGTACCCGCGTTTCCTTGATTTCAATATTGATCCAGAGTTGAAATTCAAAATTGCCACCAGTGGCTATATTGCATGTTGACACCATCATTGATCTTTGCACAATAATTGTTAAATGGATCCATCGGTTTTCATCTAAATACGTATAGCATCGAATTGTACCAGATCAAGTCTGGGTCAAAACTTCAAGATGGTAATTTAATTTGACAAACGGCCATCTTGGAATTAGGGCACCTGAGGTGGTTCTCGTGTGATAAATCTTAACGAACTGTTTTTATGTTCACGGTTCTACAATTATTTACATGTAGATAGAACCAAAAGCAATCCTACTATACATGTAGTTGAGTCTTAAGTTTGATCCCAAATTCAATATGGCTGCCAGTGACCATCTTTGATTTCGACACCTCAAGATGTTGGTTTAAATATGCCGTATGCTTCAGTTAACATTCTACAAATACATAGATCTATATATCATTTCCCCAAAAATTACACAACATATCTACTGTACAGTGTACATGTACATATATAAATATCCAGCTAGAAAGATACATTATGCAGCGTAACGTGTTAGAATATGCTTGTGAATTGTGGGATGGTTGTACAACTTATGAAACAGAAATGTTAGAGAAAGCCCAAAGAGAAGCTATTCGTATACTTACTGGACTTCCTTCTCATGCCAGAATAGAAGATTTACTTTTTGAATCTGGTCCAGAAACTCTTTCGAATCGAAGAAAACGCAGAAAACTTCAACTTTTGTATAAGATGCACAATAATTTAACTCCGGACTATTTATATGATCTATTGCCGTCTACCGTTGCAGAAAATAACCGTTACACCCTTAGAAACAATAATGATTATATAGTTCTTCCTTTCAGGCTTTCCCTAACAAATTCATCTTTTTTATCTTCAACTTTTCGCAGTTGGAATTCATTGGACCTTTCAGTACGATCATTGACTTCTTTACATTCTTTTAAAAACTCGTTAACTTCAAACGTACTATCTCCTCCGCCAATCTACTTAGGTTTCGGTGAACGTAAATTAAACATTTTGCATACAAAACTTAGATATCAGTGTAGTCCACTTAAATATGAGCTTTATAGGGAAAAATCTTGTTGATGGTCCAGTTTGTAATTGTGGCCATCCCTGTGAAAATGCCTGTCACTTTTTTTGTGAGTGCTAACTTTTTAACGACGAAAGACGCAATCCTGTTCCAAAATTTGAATGCCTTGTATGTTGATTTTGATTTTGAATTACTTTTGTTTGGTAATACCCAACTTTCGGTAGAAACCGATACAAAAGTTTTTAGACAAGTGTATCATTACATCAACTCCAGCAATAGGTTTTGATAATTATAATTATTATTCCTTATTTTTATTTATATGTGTACGTTGTTATATATGTTTATGAAATTGCATTTCATTATTTTGCCTGATGACTTTGTTACATTGATCTTGTTCATTATAAAATTACTATACCGGGCTGCATGTCTTGAAATTTTGTATAATTTATAATTTATTCAAATGCGGATCCTTTTCACATTTTACACGATTTCTTTTTTTAGATAACCCGGTAACATGGTAAATGGGCTAGCTACGCGCCTGATTCCCTATCCCCCTAACCCCACCTCCATACCCTTCCTTCTCCACCCTATCCTCCGCCCGTTCCCCCAAAAACATATATACATTAATATTGTATTTACCATATGTATTTAGGAGGGGATTTTATTAAATTGTAATAACTTGTTGTCCAATCCATTTGTACATTTTATAATGCCTAAAGATAGATACGGCGTTTTGTTTTAGAAAAGTTCATAACTGACATAGATGCTCATCATCCACACGCACCTATTTGTATCCAGTATATTTCTTCGCGCTGATGTTACCGGACTGCACGTAGTCACGCGATAATTATTTTTTGTTTCCGGAATACGCGCCGGTTTTTATTTAGACAGTTGTGTTGTTGTGTAAGCCGTACTTCGTGGAGTGGTAAGTATATGGCGCTGTTTGTGGCCCTCAAAGTGAACGTTAACAAGTATGCTATATCAGTGGGCTCTGTAGAGTACCAGTAGTGACACACAATCGTTGTTGTCATAGTTTTTTAGGTAGTGTATAACAATTAGGCCTTCACACACGTGAAATCCATCGACTCGGTACGTACCGTCGGACGACTAACTGCCGACAAGCCAAACTCAACACACCATGTGCTTTCACTGGCAGTTAATGTTTGGATCGAATCGATACAATTATGACTTTATCCCAGCTCGATTGATGTCGAACATCACAAAACGATGCAAGTATTGCCGTTTTGTTTGTGAATTAGATATTTCAATCATAATAGGTTGATCTGCAAATTAAAGCTGTCACTTTTACAACTTCAAGTCATAGAGGAAAAAGAACTATATTTTCTGAAAATTGTATTTATGAGCATTAGGCCTAATCAGCTTTGTAGATCACGTTACAATGAATAAAATATACAATTAATGGCCAGCACAGTAACAACTTGTTTCTGTCATAATGGTAGATTATGAGGTATTCATATTTTCATGGAATGGAATGCAATTTGACATTCAGTTTAAAAAGAAAACAAAGGCTCAAACAGCTTCTAGAAGAACCAAAAGGCCAAGTGTCTTGGTATTTGATCAGTATCTTGCTGGTATGGAGTGCTCTAAACTTTGCTAATGGAATAACCTTGACCTTTATTCATGGTCATTGAATCGGAGGTCATATTCGTAAAATTACAAAAAAATAACAATACTCGAACAACATCTCTTTCAGACCTTGGAGGCCAACAGTCATGGTACCAAATTAGCTTGCTTGCACAGAGTACTACTAAGTTTGCATAGATAAATGACCTTGACCCATAATTGAGGTCACAGGGGTCAAATTTGAATCAAATACACAAACAACTTTTTCTGAAGAAAAGAATGGCTTCCTGTAATTGTGATGTAACTGTTTTTGTGCGTGTATATTTAGATTGTTGTTAGGGCTGAAATGAATTAAATATACTGTCAGTTGGTGGTAAAACAATACCAGGACAACTAAATTAAGTCATACCCCTGGCAAATTGTTTGTTATAAAAGGTCATTATGTTACTTTCAAAATGAACATATGGATGGAACATTACTCCAAAATGTCTGGTGACATTTATGTAGGGATTGAATCTGGAATTTTCCAATGTTCATGCAAGTATAAGGGGGTGGGGGTTACTCATTACACACCACATAAGTGGCGGTGGTCTTACATAATGATTGCATCGTGTTCTCTTATATTGATGTTAAGCTCTAGCATTGAAGTTTCTTGTGATAGCAATGTTAAAGTGTAGATAAACACTTTATCATCTGCATATAAATGCATCACCTTTACCAAGTGCTTCCAGAATTACCGTTATAGTGATTTTTAACTGGGGACCTTTTGGGCCAATAATGGGCCACATTCCCAATAACATCTATTTATTATTTATGCATTATTCCCAAAATTTACTACTGAAATTTTAAAAATTGCGACCAGATTTATACCATTGACATTGTCAAGTTTTAACAGAATATTACCATTATCAAATGTTACCATAATTATACCATTATCAAATGTTACCATAATTATACCATTATCAAGTGTTACAAGCAGGCTTGTTTTGTGGGGTTCTCCATTAGGGCACACCTTAAGCTTTAGCCCAGTCAGGCTTGAGTTTTTCACCCACCGGATATCGGCCGTTTTATAACTAAACTGAGCGGGTTCAGTATAAAGTATGCAGTTTTAGGATATTAAGTGTCTGTGAGCATACTAAAAGATTTCCACCCTGGAGTATACATTCATACTATTTAGTGTCACCCAATGGAACAGTGGCAGGGACTCTCAAATGTAGTTATAGTGTGATGAGGGTCCTGACTCATCCCACAAGAACATGCATTAATGTATCTGGATACCTGAAGACATAATGACATTTCAAACATCAATAAATCTAGATATTTCAAACTGGATTGTACTGTACCAACATACAATTTAGACAGCAAATGAAATTAGATATGCTTTTTTTTATATTTGTAGAAGTGAGTCATCTCCCTTGAACATGTAATTAAAACTGTTTATGGTATTGTTCGAGTAACCAGACATACAGGATATTTACTGGCAGTTTTGCTGATACATCAATTATCGAGGTAAGTGGTGATTAAGTGTGCTGAGAGATCTTGACTTTTACTAATGATGTAGATGTTCTTGGAGTTGCTTGTCTTGCCCCTCTCCTCCTGTCACTGGTNAGGGCTATCCACCTAGTGGCGACAAGGTCTGTCATGGATGACATAGAGATAGGAACGAGATCTAGAGTGTGAACTCCCCAAACCAGACAGGGGTAGGGAAAGGTTAGATTAAATTGTCCCACGTGCCTAATTATATATGTACAATGGGTGTTACCTGAATCATGAATAGTTAATGTTGTATAGATGGTGTGTTGTCAGCATGTTGTGTAACATAACATGGTGTACCAAATGTTATTTCCCATTATCATCTTTTACTGGTGACATGTAGTGTTCTGGTAGTTACTTTTCTTTTCACATTACTTGCATCATGTCCTTGGAGTTACTTCCCTCGTCATCTTTTACTATTAAAGTAATAAATGACAATTGCTTCCATTTAACTCGATTAAATTATAGCATAAGTCAGACTGAATCCCACCTATAGTGGGACTACAGCGTGACACTAGGCTGACTGAATTATAGCATAATTCAGACTGAATCCCACCTATAGTGGGACCACATCGCGACAATAGGCTGACTGAATTATAGCATAAGTCAATCTGAATCCCACCTATAGTAGGACCCCATCGTGACACTAGGCTGACTGAATTATAGTATCAGTCAGACTGAATCCCACCTATAGTAGGACTCCATCGTGACACTAGGCTGACTGAATTATAGCATAAGTCAGTCTGAACCCCACCTATAGTAGGACCCCATCGTGACACTAGGCTGACTGAATTATAGCATAAGTCAGACTTAATCCCACCTATAGTGGGACTACATCGCGACACTAGGCTGACTGAATTATAGCATCAGTCAGTCTGAATCCCACCCATCGTGACACTAGGCTGAATGAATTATAGCATAAGTCAATCTGAATCCCACCTATAGTGGCACTACATCGCGACACTAGGCTGACTGAATGCTGGCATAAGTCAGTCTGAACCCCACCTATAGAAGGACCCCATCGTGACACTAGGCGGACTGAATTATAGCATAAGTCAGTCTGAATCCCACCCATCGTGACACTAGGCTGACTGAATTATAGCATAAGTCAGTCTGAACCCCACCTATAGAAGAACCCCATCGTGACACTAGGCTGACTGAATTATAGCATAAGTCAGTCTGAATCCCACCTATAGTGGGACTACATCGTGACACTAGGCTGACTGAATTATAGCATAAGTCAGACTGAATCCCACCTATAGTAGGACTCCATCGTGACACTAGGCTGACTGAATTATAGCATAAGTCAGTCTGAATCCCACCTATAGTGGGACTCCATCGTGACACTAGGCTGACTGAATTATAGCATAAGTCAGACTGAATCCCACCTATAGTAGGACTCCATCGTGACACTAGGCTGACTGAATTATAGCATAAGTCAGTCTGAATCCCACCTATAGTGGGACTCCATCGTGACACTAGGCTGACTGAATTATAGCATAAGTCAGACTGAATCCCACCTATAGTAGGACTCCATCGTGACACTAGGCTGACTGAATTATAGCATAAGTCAGACTGAATCCCACCTATAGTGGGACTCCATCGTGACACTAGGCTGACTGAATTATAGCATAAGTCAGACTGAATCCCACCTATAGTGGGACTCCATCGTGACACTAGGCTGACTGAATTATAGCATAAGTCAGTCTGAATCCCACCTATAGTGGGACTCCATCGTGACACTAGGCTGACTGAATTATAGCATAAGTCAGACTGAATCCCACCTATAGTAGGACTCCATCGTGACACTAGGCTGACTGAATTATAGCATAAGTCAGTCTGAATCCCACCTATAGTGGGACTCCATCGTGACACTAGGCTGACTGAATTATAGCATAAGTCAGACTGAATCCCACCTATAGTAGGACTCCATCGTGACACTAGGCTGACTGAATTATAGCATAAGTCAGTCTGAATCCCACCTATAGTGGGACTCCATCGTGACACTAGGCTGACTGAATTATAGCATAAGTCAGACTGAATCCCACCTATAGTAGGACTCCATCGTGACACTAGGCTGACTGAATTATAGCATAAGTCAGACTGAATCCCACCTATAGTGGGACTCCATCGTGACACTAGGCTGACTGAATTATAGCATAAGTCAGTCTGAATCCCACCTATAGTGGGACTCCATCGTGACACTAGGCTGACTGAATTATAGCATAAGTCAGACTGAATCCCACCTATAGTAGGACTCCATCGTGACACTAGGCTGACTGAATTATAGCATAAGTCAGTCTGAATCCCACCTATAGTGGGACTCCATCGTGACACTAGGCTGACTGAATTATAGCATAAGTCAGACTGAATCCCACCTATAGTAGGACTCCATCGTGACACTAGGCTGACTGAATTATAGCATAAGTCAGTCTGAATCCCACCTATAGTGGGACTCCATCGTGACACTAGGCTGACTGAATTATAGCATAAGTCAGACTGAATCCCACCTATAGTAGGACTCCATCGTGACACTAGGCTGACTGAATTATAGCATAAGTCAGTCTGAATCCCACCTATAGTGGGACTCCATCGTGACACTAGGCTGACTGAATTATAGCATAAGTCAGACTGAATCCCACCTATAGTAGGACTCCATCGTGACACTAGGCTGACTGAATTATAGCATAAGTCAGTCTGAATCCCACCTATAGTGGGACTCCATCGTGACACTAGGCTGACTGAATTATAGCATAAGTCAGACTGAATCCCACCTATAGTAGGACTCCATCGTGACACTAGGCTGACTGAATTATAGCATAAGTCAGTCTGAATCCCACCTATAGTGGGACTCCATCGTGACACTAGGCTGACTGAATTATAGCATAAGTCAGACTGAATCCCACCTATAGTAGGACTCCATCGTGACACTAGGCTGACTGAATTATAGCATAAGTCAGTCTGAATCCCACCTATAGTGGGACTCCATCGTGACACTAGGCTGACTGAATTATAGCATAAGTCAGACTGAATCCCACCTATAGTAGGACTCCATCGTGACACTAGGCTGACTGAATTATAGCATCAGTCAGTCTGAATCCCACCTATAGTGGGACTCCATCGTGACACTAGGCTGACTGAATTATAGCATAAGTCAGTCTGAATCCCACCTATAGTGGGATTACATCGCGACACTAGGCTGTCTGAATTATAGCATAAGTCAGACTGAATTCCACCTATAGTGGGACTACATCGCGACACTAGGCTGACTGAATTATAGCATAAGTCAGACTGAATCCCACCTATAGTGGGACTACATCGTGACACTAGGCTGACTGAATTATAGCATAAGTCAGACTGAATCCCACCTGTAGTGGGTCTTCATTGCGACACTAGGCTGACTGAAATATAGCACAAGTCTGAATCCCACCTAATTATGACATTGTGACTGCAGTAGAACAAATTCATGACTTGAGTCTAATTGAATGGGATTGTGTGACTGCAGTGGAACAAATTCATGACTTGAGCCTAATTGAATGGTATTGTGTGACTGCAGTGGAACAAATTCATGACTTGAGCCTAATTGAATGGTATTGTGTGACTGCAGTGGAAAAAATTCATGACTTGAGTCTAATTGAATGGTATTGTGGGACTGCAGTGTAACAAATTCATGACTTGAGTCTAATTGAATGGGATTGTGTGACTGCAGTGGAACAAATTCATGACTTGAGTCTAATTGAATGGTATTGTGTGACTGCAGTGGAAAAAATTCATGACTTGAGTCTAATTGAATGGTATTGTGTGACTGAAGTAGAACAAATTCATGACTTGAGTCTAATTGAATGGTATTGTGTGACTGCAGTGGAACAAATTCATGACTTGAGTCTAATTGAATGGTATTGTGTTACTGCAGTGGAACAAATTCATGACTTGAGTCTAATTGAATGGTATTGTGTGACTGCAGTGGAACAAATTCATGACTTGAGTCTAATTGAATGGTATTGTGTGACTGCAGTGGAACAAATTCATGACTTGAGTCTAATTGAATGGTATTGTGTGACTGCAGTGGAACAAATTCATGACTTGAGTCTAATTGAATGGTATTGTGTGACTGCAGTGGAACAAATTCATGACTTGAGTCTAATTGAATGGTATTGTGTGACTGCAGTGGAACAAATTCATGACTTGAGTCTAATTGAATGGTATTGTGTGACTGCAGTGGAACAAATTCATGACTTGAGTCTAATTGAATGGTATTGTGTGACTGCAGTGGAACAAATTCATGACTTGAGTCTAATTGAATGGTATTGTGTGACTGCAGTGGAACAAATTCATGACTTGAGTCTAATTGAATGGTATTGTGTGACTGCAGTGGAACAAATTCATGACTTGAGTCTAATTGAATGGTATTGTGTTACTGCAGTGGAACAAATTCATGACTTGAGTCTAATTGAATGGTATTGTGTGACTGCAGTGGAACAAATTCATGACTTGAGTCTAATTGAATGGTATTGTGTTACTGCAGTGGAACAAATTCATGACTTGAGTCTAATTGAATGGTATTGTGTTACTGCAATGGAACAAATTCATGACTTGAGTCTAATTGAATGGTATTTAATATCCATAATGATGTGATCTGATATTAAGTTAGACAAAACTATTAGTCATTTTGGTATGCTATTGCTTCCATCATTTCTATATCTTACAACTTAATTGATAAAAGGATACCTCTGTGTTTCAGAAGGACAACAGATGATGATATAAGATGAAACTGCGAACGACATTCTCATTTGGGAAGCACATGAAGGAGTTGGGCATCATGGTGATTGGTGGTACGCTGGTGTTTGTCGGCTTTGAGACAGTATCAGGAAATGAGAAGTTCTATAGACAATTGTTGATGCCAGCTATGCATGTCCTGGGTGCTGAGACAGCCCATAGACTAGCAGTAAAGGCTGTCAAGTACAAGCTGGTGCCCCGACAGTGGAAACCAGACCCACCTTCTCTGAGTACAACTGTATTTGGCAGAAAGTTTGACAACCCTGTTGGGCTGGCAGCAGGGTTTGACAAAGACGGTGAGGCTGTTGAGGGACTCTTGGCTATGGGTTTTGGCTTTGTGGAGGTTGGAAGTGTAACACCGCAGCCTCAGCCTGGTAATCCCCGCCCCCGCGTGTTCCGTCTTCCAGAGGATAAAGCTGTCATCAACAGGTACCCAGACAGTTCCCTTGTTTGATAGGTTTTAAATAACAAGAATTTTCAGATAAAATGAATTATAATGTATCGATGTACATTTACTTTTATCAGTAAATCATGTTTTATTATTTACCTGTATAATACTGAGTGCTTTACTGAATATGTTTTTGTACTGCTGAATTGTGTGACAGTGTTAAAGATATTTATCTTAGCTGATGTTAGAGTGCATACTGCTTCCTGGTGCACCTAAATACATTATACCAGCTGGTCCCTCATGCATGTCTAATTTTTAGCTCACCTGGCGTCCGTCCGGCGTCAACTTTTTACTTTAAACAACTTCTTCTCAGTAACCAAAAGGCCTAGGGTGATGATATTTGGCCAGAAGCATGCTTGGATTAAGGGCTACCAAGTTTGTTCAAATAAATGACCTTCATCAATTTTCAAGGTCACAGGGGTCAAATATGTAAAAATCTTTAATCAACTTCTTCTGAATAACCAAGAGGCCTAGGATGAAGATATTTGGCCAGTACCATGCTGGGATGAAGGGCTACCAAATTTGTTCAAATAACTGACCTTGCCTTATATTCAAGGTCACAGGGGTCAAATATGTTTAAAACCTTTAAACAACTTCTTCTGAATAACTGAGAGACCTAGGGTGATGATATTTGGCCAGTAACATGCTGGTATGAAGGGCTACCAAGTTTGTTCAAATAAATGACCTTGACTTATATTCAAGGTCACTGGGGTCAAATATGTTTAAAACCTTTAAACAACTTCTTCTGAATAACCGAGAGACCTAGGGTGATGATATTTGGCCAGTAACATGCTGGTATGAAGGGCTACCAAGTTTGTTCAAATTAATGACCTTGACTTATATTCAAGGTCACTGGGGTCAAATATGTTTAAAACCTTTAAACAACTTCTTCTGAATAACCGAGAGGCCTAGGGTGATGATATTTGGCCAGTAACATGCTGGGATGAAGGGCTACCAAGTTTGTTCAAATGAATGACCTTAATCTTTTTTCAAGGTCACAGGGGTCAAATATGTTTTTAACCTTTAAACAACTTCTTCTGAATAACCAAGAGGCCTAGTATAATGCCAGTAACATGCTTGGATGAAGGACTACCAAGTTCGTTCAAATGAATGACCTTGACCTATATATTGAAGGTCACAGGGGTCAAATATGTTTAAAACCATTGAATGACTTCTTGATAAGCAAAAGGCCAAGAGTGATGACTTTTGGCCATTAACATGCTGGGATGAAGGACTATCAAGTGAATGACCTTCATCCATATTCAAGGTCACAGTGGTCAATATATGTTTAAATCTCTAAATGATTTGTTCTGTATAACCAAAAGGTCCAGGGTAATGATATTTTGCCAGAAGCATGCTGGGTTGGAAGACTATAAACTCTGTTCAACCTAATGTCCATGTTCGACATTCAAGGGTCACAGGCGTCATATGTTTCTTATGAATCAAACACTGATATTCTGCCTGTAGCTGTATTTTAATCCACTTTTAAGATTACAAGTGTGAGATTAATACCAGGTGAGCGATGCAGGCCCATTGGGCCTCTTGTTGTTATTATACATTGTCTGGTCCCAGTAAATACATATCTAATGTGGCCTTAAACATAAATATTGACATCATTTGACTATAAATAACTTTCAAGATTGCACAATATTTTAGATGAATTTTCCCTTTTTTCCTAGATATGGCTTTAACAGTCAGGGGCACGCAGCGGTGATCCAGAGACGGATACGGGACAGGGAGAGGCCAGGAGCCACGCAGGGGTTGGTGGGTGTCAATCTTGGCAAGAATAAAGAGTCATCCTCCCCAATAGGGGACTATGTGGAGGGGGTGAAACAGTTTGGAGGTGTGTCCGACTACCTTGTCGTGAACGTGTCCAGTCCCAACACACCTGGACTGAGGGACATGCAGGGCAAGGAGCGACTGGAAAAACTACTGGACCAAGTGGTAGCGGCTAGGGACAGTCTAAAGAATGACCAGAAACCACCCATCCTTGTCAAGATTGCTCCTGACCTCACACAAAAGGACAAGGAGGATGTGGCAGCAGTAGTGACCAAGCGGGAGGGCTATATAGACGGGCTCATTATAAGTAACACAACAATCTCACGGCCATCCAGTTTACAGAGTGGCCACAAGACAGAGACTGGTGGACTAAGTGGGGCCCCTCTTCGGGCACTGGCTACGGACACCATATCAGACATGTATAGACTGACCAGGGGTACACTGCCCATAATAGGTGTAGGAGGTATCTCCACTGGTCAAGATGCTTATGAAAAAATCAGAGCCGGAGCTAGTCTTGTACAGTTGTACAGTGCACTAATATATGGCGGACCACCAGTAGTCAAAAAAATTAAGCGGGAACTTGGACAGATACTAGAGGCGGACGGCTTCTCATCTATTGCAGAAGCTGTTGGTAAAGACCACAAACCAACATGATATTTTATTTATTATGATGAGGATTAAATTGTCCAAGTAATTATATATAGATAACCTGATCAATAAAATTGATTTTCGTCACATTGAGTATTGGGTTATTTATATTTGTGTATCATGCAAGAAATTATCAAGTTATAATATACCTTCTCTTTTTAAGTATCTACCAAAATTTGATGTCCAAGACATACATTTTTCTCTAAATGTGCTGGTTTTGGGAAAGAAGAGGCAACTGATGTGGGACATTGTCTGTAGAATCTTGGGGGTTTCCTCCTTGTCTTCTGTAAGGGGACATTGTCTGTAGAATCTTGGGGGTTTCCTCCTTGTCTTCTGTTAGGGGACATTGTCTGTAGAACCTTGGGGGTTTCCTCCTTGTCTTCTGTAAGGGGACATTGTCTGTAGAACCTTGGGGATTTCCTCCTTGTCTTCTGTTAGGGGACATCGGAGAAACAATATAGGCCTTTTGTATCCCAGCTATATGTATGTTATATAGGAAGGCAAAAAGGAAGGCTCAAATATATGTGTTTGATGTAGTAATGCTTACTTGATTTTATGTATGTGATATAGGAAGGCTCAAATTTATGTTTGTAATACAGAAAGGCTCAATTGTAAGTTTGTAATACAGAAAGGCTCCATTGTAAGTTTGTAATACAGAAAGGCTCCATTGTATGTTTGTAATACAGGAAGGCTCAATTGTATGTTTGTAATATAGGAAGGCTCAATTGTCAGTTTGTTATACAGAAAGGCTCCATTGTATGTTTGTAATACAGGAAGGCTCCACTGTATGTTTATAATATAGGAAGGCTCAATTGTATGTTTGTTATACAGAAAGGCTCAATTGTATGTTTGTAATATAGGAAGGCTCAATTGTCAGTTTGTTATACAGAAAGGCTCCATTGTATGTTTGTAGTACAGGAAGGCTCCACTGTATGTTTNATACAGGAAGGCTCCACTGTATGTTTGTCATACAGGAAGGCTCCACTGTATGTTTGTAATACAGGAAGGATCTTTTGTATGTTTGAAATACAGGAAGGCTTCTTTGTATGTTTGTAATACAGGAAGTCTTCTTTTTAAGTTCGTTATACAGGAAGGATCTTTTGTATGTTTGTAATACAGAAAGGCTCCATTGTATGTTTGTAATACAGGAAGGCTTCTTTGTGTGTTTGTAATACAGGAAGGCTCCACTGTATGTTGGTAATACAGGAAGGCTCCACTGTATGTTTGTCATACAGGAAGACTCCACTGTATGTTTGTAATACAGGAAGGATCTTTTGTATGGTTGTAATACAGGAAGGATCTTTTGTATGTTTGAAATACAGGAAGGCTTCTTTGTATGTTTGTAATGCAGGAAGGCTCCATTGTATGTTTGTAATACATGAAGGCTGCACATTATATGTTATATAGGTTACTCTCCGTTGTTTATGTAATAGAGGCAGGCTGAACGTTATATGTTATATAGGATTACTCTCCGTTGCGTATGTAATAGAGGCAGGCTGCTCCACTGTATGTTTGTAATACAGGAAGGCTCCTCTGTATGTTTGTCATACAGGAAGGCTCCACTGTATGTTTGTAATACAGAAAGGCTCCATTGTATGTTTGTAATACAGGAAGGCTTCTTTGTAAGTTTGTAATATAGGAAGGCTCCACTGTATGTTTGTTATACAGAAAGGCTCCTTTGTATGTTTGTTATACAGGAAGGCTACACTGTATGTTTGTAATACAGGAAGGATCTTTTGTATGGTTGTAATACAGGAAGGATCTTTTGTATGTTTGAAATACAGGAAGGCTTCTTTGTATGTTTGTAATACAGGAAGTCTTCTTTTTAAGTTTGTTATACAGGAAGGATCTTTTGTATGTTTGTAATACAGGATGGCTTCTTTGTATGTTTGTAATGCAGGAAGGCTCCATTGTATGTTTGTAATACATGAAGGCTGCACATTATATGTTATATAGGTTACTCTCCGTTGTTTATGTAATAGAGGCAGGCTGCACGTTATATGTTATATAGGATTACTCTACGTTGCGTATGTAATAGAGGCAGGCTGCATGTTATATGTTATATAGGATTACTCTCCGTTGTTTATGTAATAGAGGCAGGCTGCACGTTATATCTTATATAGGATTACTCTCCGTTGCGTATGTAATAGAGGCAGGCTGCATGTTATATGTTATATAGGATTACTCTCCGTTGTGTATGTAATAGAGGTAGGCTGTACGTTATATGTTAAATAGGATTGCTCTCCGTTGCGTATGTAATAGAGGCAGGCTGCTCCACTGTATGTTTGTAATACAGGAAGGAGCTTTTGTATGTTTGTAATACAGGAAGGATCTTTTGTATGGTTGTAATACAGGAAGGATCTTTTGTATGTTTGTAATACAGGATGGCTTCTTTGTATGTTTGTAATGCAGGAAGGCTCCATTGTATGTTTGTAATACAGGAAGGTTCCTTTGTATGTTTGTAATACAGGAAGGATCTTTTGTATGTTTGTACTACAGGAAGGATCTTTTGTATGTTTGTAATACAGAAAGGCTCCATTGTATGTTTGTAATACAGGAAGGCTTCTTTTTATGTTTGTAATACAGGAAGGCTCCACTGTATGGTTGTAATACAGGAAGGCTCCACTGTATGTTTGTCATACAGGAAGGCTCCACTGTATGTTTGTAATACAGGAAGTCTCCATTGTATGTTTGTAATACAGGAAGGCTTCTTTTTATGTTTGTAATACAGGAAGGCTCCACTGTATGGTTGTAATACAGGAAGGCTCCACTGTATGTTTGTCATACAGGAAGGCTCCACTGTATGTTTGTAATACAGAAAGGCTCCATTGTATGTTTGTAATACAGGAAGGTTCCTTTGTATGTTGTATACAAGAAGGCTCCTTTGTATGTTTGTAATTCAGGAAGGCTTCTTTGTATGTTTGTAATACAGGAAGGCTCCTCTGTATGTTTGTCATACAGGAAGGCTCCACTGTATGTTTGTAATACAGAAAGGCTCCATTGTATGTTTGTAGTACAGGAAGGCTCCACTGTATGTTTGTATACAAGAAGGCTCCTTTGTATGTTTGTAATACAGGAAGGATCTTTTGTATGGTTGTAATACAGGAAGGATCTTTTGTATGTTTGAAATACAGGAAGGCTTCTTTGTATGTTTGTAATGCAGGAAGGCTCCATTGTATGTTTGTAATACATGAAGGCTGCACATTATATGTTATATAGGTTACTCTCCGTTGTTTATGTAATAGAGGCAGGCTGCACGTTATATGTTATATAGGATTACTCTCCTTTGTGTATGTAATAGAGGCAGGCTGCACGTTATATGTTATATAGGATTACTCTCCTTTGTGTATGTAACAGAGGCAGGCTGCACGTTATATCTGTATGTTTGTAATACAGGAAGGCTCCATTGTATGTTTGTAATACAGGAAGGTTCCTTTGTATGTTGTATACAAGAAGGCTCCTTTGTATGTTTGTAATACAGGAAGGCTTCTTTGTATGTTTGTAATGCAGGAAGGCTCCATTGTATGTTTGTAATACATGAAGGCTGCACATTATATGTTATATAGGTTACTCTCCGTTGTTTATGTAATAGAGGCAGGCTGCACGTTATATGTTATATAGGATTACTCTCCGTTGCGTATGTAATAGAGGCAGGCTGCATGTTATATGTTATATAGGATTACTCTCCGTTGTGTATGTAATAGAGGCAGGCTGCACGTTATATGTTATATAGGATTACTCTCCTTTGTGTATGTAATAGAGGCAGGCTGCACGTTATATGTTATATAGGATTACTCTCCGTTGTGTATGTAATAGAGGCAGGCTGCACGTTATATGTTATATAGGATTACTCTCCGTTGTGTATGTAATAGAGGCAGGCTGCACGTTATATGTTATATAGGATTACTCTCCGTTGTGTATGTAATAGAGGCAGGCTGCACGTTATATGTTATATAGGATTACTCTCCGTTGTGTATGTAATAGAGGCAGGCTGCACGTTATATGTTATATAGGATTACTCTCCGTTGTGTATGTAATAGAGGCAGGCTGCACGTTATATGTTATATAGGATTACTCTCCGTTGTGTATGTAATAGAGGCAGGCTGCACGTTATATGTTATATAGGATTACTCTCCGTTGTGTATGTAATAGAGGCAGGCTGCACGTTATATGTTATATAGGATTACTCTCCGTTGTGTATGTAATAGAGGCAGGCTGCACGTTATATGTTATATAGGATTACTCTCCGTTGTGTATGTAATAGAGGCAGGCTGTACGTTATATGTTAAATAGGATTGCTCTCCGTTGCGTATGTAATAGAGGCAGGCTGCACGTTATATGTTATATTGGATTACTCTCCGTTGTGTATGTAACAGAGGCAGGCTGCACGTTATATGTTATATAGGATTACTCTCCGTTGTGTATGTAATAGAGGAAGGCTGCATGTTATATGTTATATAGGATTACTCTCCGTTGTGTATGTAACAGAGGCAGGCTGCACGTTATATGTTATATAGGATTACTCTCCGTTGTGTATGTAATAGAGGCAGGCTGCATGTTATATGTTATATAGGATTACTCTCCGTTGTGTATGTAATAGAGGCAGGCTGCACGTTATATGTTATATAGGATTACTCTCCGTTGTGTATGTAATAGAGGCAGGCTGCATGTTATATGTTATATAGGATTACTCTCCGTTGTGTATGTAATAGAGGCAGGCTGCACGTTATATGTTATATAGGATTACTCTCCGTTGTGTATGTAATAGAGGCAGGCTGCATGTTATATGTTATATAGGATTACTCTCCGTTGTGTATGTAATAGAGGCAGGCTGCACGTTATATGTTATATAGGATTACTCTCCGTTGTGTATGTAATAGAGGCAGGCTGCACGTTATATGTTATATAGGATTACTCTCCGTTGTGTATGTAATAGAGGCAGGCTGCACGTTATATGTTATATAGGATTACTCTCCGTTGTGTATGTAATAGAGGCAGGCTGCACGTTATATGTTATATAGGATTACTCTCCGTTGTGTATGTAATAGAGGCAGGCTGCACGTTATATGTTATATAGGATTACTCTCCGTTGTGTATGTA